TTTGAAATTTTGGCCCTTTGTTTTTTTTTTTTTTTTTTTTTTTTTTCTCAAGGGAAAATTTCATAAGAGATTATATATGACATATTTCAAAATTAAGAAAACAAGTTTCAAATTTCAAAAATCAGATTTTTTATTAAAATTTGTTTTTGATTTAATTATCTTATTAATTAAATGTTAAGTCACAGATTAACAAATTAATTACTAACTTATTATTTTCTGGTCACAAATAAAAAAATTTATTTCATAAATTATTTTATAATCACAATTCAAAAATTTTGCAGGTCACGATTTGTTCATCGGTCACAAATCCAAAAATTAATTAGTCACAAATTAATTTTTAGTCACAACTTATCAATTTAATGGTCACAACTTATTTCTCGATCATAAATCAAAAAATTTATAAGTCACATATTATTTTTCAATTACAAATAAATTTTTTTATAGGTCACAAATTATTCACTAGTCACAGAATCAAAATTTTTATTGGTCACAACTCATATATTCGTTGCAAATTTTTAATCAATTAATTTTTCAATCATAATTTAATCAATTATAAGTCACAATCACAATTTTTAGGTCACAAATTACAAATTTGGTCACAGTCACATATTCGACCACATTATTTACTGATTACAAATTAAAAATTTACTGATCATAATATAATTGGTCACAAATACTCTTTTTCACCCACTTGAACACCGCCAACCACTACCTCGCCAAATCCACCACCACCGTCAACTTCACTAGCACCAAAACCTCCCATATCCTCCAACAACACCAAAATACAAACGACCACCATTGCTCTAACCACCAAAAAAACACCATCTCCACCACTACTGCACCACCGCCCCCCATCACCACCACCACCACCACCATTGCAAAATCATATCCATCTACACTTAACAAATCAGAAACATACCTTTGCTCACTCAAACCTCAACACAACTCTGTTCACTCAAACCTTACTTGGCTACCAACGCTGAAAAAAATAAATCAAATGCGGCACCACCACAGAACCACTAACGAGACCACCCACCATTGCCACAACCAAACACCCGACACCACTGAGCACCGCCACCACTACCAAACCACCTCAATAAACTACCTCAAAACCACTTGTGACCACTGCTAGCACCACCGCCGGCAACTGCCTGAACCATCGCCCCCACCACAACCTAAATCAATACACAAATGCGTGACCACCACCACCTACAGTATACCACCGGGGGTAGTGATAGCAATTTACCTCGCCCCGCCTCGAATGGGGCAAAAAAACTCACCCCGTCGCGGGGCGCGGGGATGCCCCGCCCCGAACCCGCCCCGTGAATTTTTTTTTTTATATATATAAAAAGGCTAGGGTTCAATTTGCTTCAAATAAAAGGATGACCTATTTTCTAGTATCCTCAATTGTACAAATCTTATCAAACTTGACTAATTTATATATACCATTATGCTACTTTATCAAATTAATATTATATTGATAAAAACAAATATAAAAAGATATAACATGTTCAACCGAACAAATTTGAAAATCTATATATTGTCATAAATTAAAGTGTGTGGGGTTACAACTTTTGTTATAATATCAAAGGAAAAAAACACAAAAAAAACTTTGTTCATTATAATAATTAATGTTGTGTACCAATAACGACCATTATATTTAAGATTTGTAGTGTTTATTTTGGATATTAACTTTGTCAACTTGAATGTTATCCGTATTTTATTGAACTTAAAAAAAAATTAAACGGAGCAAAAAAATTGCCCCGACCCGCGGGGAGGGGCGTGGG